AGCGCTTTGGGGTCCGGAGGGACTTGAAAAGCGCTCTATAAGTTCAGTACCATTTACCATTTACAAAACTACACACACATCTGTGCTCATAAAGAGCACCAGATCAGTTCTACTGCTCAATAATTACTTTGTTTCCTCTTCTATAATCACGCTGAACAGCTGAAGCTAAATTTTTATTTTTATTGCATCATTTAAACTGGCTAAGGAGGAAACTACATTTTCCTTTAAAATTTTTATTATAAAAATAATTTAATAGATGAAAATGTTATAAAATCAAAGACAATGAAATTCTACTGCACAGATTTAAAAAGCTAATAATTAAGAAAGAAACTAGTTTGAATAACGGTTCAGTGATTACTAAATTGTTTAACAATAGGTAATCAGTCAAAACTTTGATTTTTATTACAGTAAAACAAGTCTTTGAACAGCATTTATTTTTATTTTTGCACACACAAGGTTTTAAATAAAGTTTAACTATTAATTAAGTTAACTTGTAACTTGGTAAAAGATGTGATTAAATATGTCCAGACTGAGTGAGTTATTAACACACATGAAAGGACATCATTCTGTCAGTACTGCACCAGTTAAAACAGCCAGTGATGCATGATGTCATCACACAGCGCCTGACTGTGTCGGTGCTTTAACCATGTTAACTGGCTGAGCAGGATACACCAGGACCAGACAAGGCAGGAGGATGCAGTGCTCCACCACAGACTGCTTCAGGGTCCGGACAGAAGCTGCAGCAGCAGGCCACCTTCAGGCAGCTTCATGCAGAAAAACAATCATCGCAGCAGGAAAAAGACTTCTGGGTTTTTTCTGTTTACTGACATTCTGACGGGCTTCTAACAAAGATACTTCACTGAACAACATGTTTCTTTGCTCAGAAAAAGACAAAGACATTTGGATGACCCATCAGGTTGAGGAGTGCAAAGCAAAACAAAAAACAAAATAAACAAAACAGCTTAGTGTTTCACAAAAGTCTTCTTTTTTTGGATGGTATCAGCTTTCGAGTATTGTTTGAGGTTCCTCACGCACTTCGACTCCATCTGATGTAAAACTGTTGTGCTTCAAAACACTTCAATATCCTGTAAAATCAACTTTTTTGAGTTTTATATCATGTTATAATGTTATACTCTCATAAAAACATGACCAAAGCCTTGCTCTGACTCATTCTTCATGTTTGAGAAATCCTGCAGTGTTTTTATGAAGCCATGCTGAGGAGCAAAACGACAGGTGGGGACCAGAAACACCTTTTGGGACCAGGAACACCTTTTGGTACCAGGAACACCTTTTGGTACCAGAAACACCTTTTGGTACCAGAAACACCTTTTGGACCAGAAACACCTCTGGGACCAGAAACACCCCTGGGACCAGGAACACCTCTGGGACCAGAAACACCTTTTGGGACCAGGAACACCTTTTGGTACCAGGAACACCTTTTGGTACCAGAAACACCTTTTGGTACCAGAAACACCTTTGGGACCAGAAACACCTTTTGGTACCAGGAACAACTCTGGGACCAGAAAGACCTTTTGGGACCAGGAACACCTTCTGGTACCAGAAACACCTTTTGGTACCAGGAACACCTTTTGGTACCAGAAACACCTTTTGGTACCAGGAACACCTCTGGGACCAGAAACACCTTTTGGTACCAGGAACACCTCTGGGACCAGAAACACCTTTTGGGACCAGGAACACCTTCTGGTACCAGAAACACCTTTTGGTACCAGGAAAACCTCTGGGACCAGAAACACCTTTTGGTACCAGAAACACCTCTGGGACCAGAAACACCTTTTTGGTACCAGGAACACCTCTGGGACCAGAAAGACCTTTTGGGACCAGGAACACCTTCTGGTACCAGAAACACCTTTTGGTACCA